GGGTTTTTTCGACTTGTGATTTTTGGCATTGTCGGCGCTTCGCGAGTCCACCTAACTGCTGCTCTGGTGGAATGTAAGTAATCCCCATTCCCCAAAAAATAAAAAGGGTTAGAAATCTTCTACATACTACTAACATTTAACCTAACCCTATAAGGGTGGTCACAAAATACAATGGTCTGAAAGGGATTAACCTTCAGTAGAAATATATGAATATTACGTTGGAATCTATGCCTTGATTCTCTAGAACTTTTTTTTTCATTTTTCAAGGAGGTTTGGTTAAACTCTGATCAGTTTCCACCAACCTTCCCCAAAGGCTCATGGGAGGCTTTTTGGTGGGCACTTATCTCCATGACAACAGTCGGGTGAGTAACTAGAGTATCTGCACTGATTTGTTTTATCTGTTAATTTACTTTTGATTTATTGCACAGTGGTTGACATAGAGCAGATTTTGTATGACTGTGAATGAAAAACGGTATCGTGTTCGTGCCGTGACCTTTTCACAGTCATACAAAAACAGCTCTAGTATGTCTGCTGGCTACTTTATTTATGTGTCTTCGTTCTTTGCTGTAATATAAACGCTCAAAGAACTGTAGGGCAATTTTGTTTCTAAGGGGCCTAAGACTGCTTCTCTTATGTTCTACAGCTCCCAAAGTATCTATATCACAATACTGTCACAAATATATTGGCTGATAGAGATAAGACAGATTTTATTAGTATATATTAGAGGATATTAATGGTTGTTTGTGTCTATTCAAGGTATGGGGATCTGACACCAAGAGGATATACTGGCCGTTGTATCAGCATGGCATGGATACTTACTGGCTTGGTAATGGTGTCTTTATTCAACAGTATTGTGACCTTCTCTTTAACTGCATCTGTTATTGACCAGAGTATAATGCTGTATGGAACCAGGGTAATTTCGCCAATCGCCTTGCTTTTTATGCCTTATTAACATGACCCTAGTATGATATATTCTCATCTTAATTATTCGTCCAGGTTGGTGCTCTGGCCAACAGTACAGAGTTCAGAGCTGGTATTCTAAAAAATGCTCAGATAGGTATGTCATATAAAACATTATTAGATTATCTCCTTCCCCTTAAGATTCACTTGCGTGGCATAGTGGCAAGCATATAGGTATGGTCTGAGGACCTGCTAGTCTCTCCCTCTAATATGCCTTTGCACTATAACATTGTTCTGTGTATCAAGCTCAATTGCCCGCGTCAGGTGTGACGTCCATACGCCTCAGCTTTATCGGTAGTCTCGGGGGTGTGGCATTTGAATTAATTAGGGAAAATATATTGCATGGGAAACGTCAGAGCGATTCCCACCCGGTATCCAGATTATTTTATAAAAAAAGTTTTTTTTACAATGTTTCAATATATGGAAACAATTCTTCTATAAGAATGAATGTTTGATAAAGAGATGTTTATCATTGTCTTGTATTCCATTTCTATCAGACTCTGTTTTGTTCTGAGTTCCTTTCAGCATAGACAAATGATCAATATCTTCTATGCTTATACCCTAGCTTATAAATAAATTCCACATGTTTATCGTTGCTTTCTTCCTTTACTGCGTAAGCAATCTCTATAAAAAAAACCACAAGACAGTTTTGTTTGTTTTTGATATTGTTCTGTTCTTGTTTTTGTTTTGTGTGTGTTTTATTCCTATTGTATTGTTGTTTCGTTGTTTTATTGAGATACCTCATTTCTTCCCACCATCCATCATTCGTATATTAAGCTATCATTAWTATTCTTATTATTATTCTTCCATTCCAGTCCCATACCCTACTCTAGAAGACCTAACAAGAGCTCTTGACCTTGGACACATTAAGGGTTTGCTACTGGATGGATACGTAGCCAACATGGTCATACCAGTCCAGGAATATGAAGTCAATAGAATCCTTGATAAGACTCTTACGTACGGCGTGGTGCTGGCTGGAGAGGCTGTTACTTTAAAACAGCCAATCAAGGACTACATGGTTCAACATCAGGCAAAGATTACCCGTATAATCGAGACATCAGTCAAGCCTCTAACTAATGTACGTAATTGCAAAATAATCGGGTTTACTTCATACAGGTAAAAGGAGAGCAAAAGGGCCGAGTTACAGTAGCTAGAGTCCTACATGATTCCCCAAGCCCCACAAACACAGGCATTTGATGTTCGTAAATCCACGACCAATTATTTGTCTTATTAAATTTTCCTTAGGACTCCATCTCAAAAACCAACAACAACAATGAACCAGATATTTTTGCCGTTGATGAGAAATTTCTCAGAAAAACAATGATATATTTTGGCCCAAGTCTAATCGTGATGGTCGCTTGTGGCTTAGTATACAATATCTATTACAAGAAAGAACTATACAAAGGTATTATACACATATCATGTACCTTTTTTAACCCATGAAGATGGAGAATGATGACCTGTCCCCACTCCACGTCCCAGTTACATGTTCCCTAGTGTGATGCCCCCACGTCATGTCCCTGTTACATTTTCCCTAGTGTGGTGTCCCCACTCCACATCCCTGTTACATGTCCCCCAGAATGATTTTCCCACTCCATATTCCTGTTACAAGTCCCTAGTGTGACGTCCCTACTTCATGTCCCTTTTTCGTGTCCCTTAGTGTGATATCCCCTCTCCATGTCCCTGTTCCGTATCCCCTAGTGTTAATGCCGTCCCTCTATGTCTCTGTTCCATGTTCCCCCACTCTGTGTCCCCATTACATGTCCCCTATAGTTCATGCTCCCACTCCACGTCCCTGTTACATGTCCCTTAGTGTGATGTCCCTACTCCACGTACCTTTTACATGTCCCCTACTGTTAATGTCCCCTTTCCATGTTCATGTTAAATGTCCCCTAGTGTGTGATGACCGGTTACATGTCCCCACTACCCATGCCCCTGTTACATGTCCCCTGGTATGATGTTCTGTAACCCATTTTCTCTTTTTACCTCTCTACACGGGCAGCAAAAATACCTGAATAGGAAATTCTTATTATAGGCATTCAAGATATTGCTAATGCAGACATGCTGAACTTTGAGAAAAAGAAAAACGCATTACGTCTTATGGTAGAGGATTTCTACCAAGGAACAAAGAAAACTGTACAAGATCTGAAGGCAAAACATGTAAAAGAACTAAAAACACTATCAATGGTGCGCAAAAAATATTAAAAGCAGCAATAAATGAGGTAGAAATAGTAGGTAGTAGTAGAAGTAGTAATAGCAGCAGTAAAAGCAATAGTTGTTGTAGCAGCAGCAGTAGTAGCAGTATCACCTAGAGTGATGTTGCTTGGCCTGCTTTGAATTATCACTAATTCAATATGCAACTTTGTTTGTTGGGCTCCCGGGGTTGGGCCTTGTAAAATTCCTCTATGTAGCGTTAGGGTAATATAGTAGTAGCAGCAGTATCACCTAGATTGATGTTGCTTGGCCTACTTTGAATATCACTAATTTAATATGCAACTTTGTTTGTTGGGCCCCCGGGGTTGGGCCTTGTAAGATTTCTCTATGTAGCGTTAGGGTAATATAGTAGTAGTAGCAGTACCAAAAACGTATTTGAAAAACGATTGCGACCGTTTCATCAGTTATTCTTAGCACCCATTCAGTTTTATAGAACCAATTTAAGTGATGCTTAAAGAATGAGTGGCCGTGTTATATGTGTGTGCAAGCCAAAGGCTTACGAACAAGCCTATGTGTGATAAAGTAATAATTGACAAACTATAAGTCAATGAAATTTAAAATTTAAACTGGGCCTAGGTATGTAACACTATTTCTAAAAGTAAAGCAAAAGAACAAAGTTGTGTTTTTGTAAGATTTTTATTCCTGCACGAGCGATTTTTTCCTCAAGGAAACACATCTTGCTTAAACCAAAGATGGAAGATGGTAAGTGGAGGAAAATCTAAAGGGCTGCAAAATTTCTTGTTTCGGGCAAGCCTAAGGAATTCTTTTGTTTCAAGAATTGAAATATTTTACATGGGGTTTCGAGTTATGGAAATACCTTGAGGCTTTTCGCTTTACTCAACAGCAAGAACAACAGTCGAAGAACCAAGCAGTAAGAGGCTAACCTGAGTAAATGAGCCTGTAATGAAGGAACTTGAAAATGGTATATTATAATATCGATTAAGAACATTCCCATTAATTCATAAACTTTAACACCCAATAAACGTACCCAAATTCAGCCCATATAATATGTATTTTCAGAATTACACTATAAAGTTGTTCTAATTAAAAAGAATACCTTTGTTTGCATATGAAACAGAAAATAACCTGCATGCGCTTTCGTGTTGATGCTTGCAACTGAGAATTCCGTCGTTCATCGACAAAAGCAGAACGACTGGTTTGGTTGTGCAGACATGCGTAGTTAACCGACATGCATTTCGGTCGTAGAATTTTTTTGAAAATACGCCTTTTCTGACTCCCCGCGACCCTAACCAATTAAATGGGTCACAAGTGGGACAATTATGTCAAAATGTTTTACTACTGGAAACATTTCACTACTTTTTATGTTTTCGTTGATAGAGGGCTTCCTACCATCACGTGATGGCAGCCATGACAGGAGGCAGGAACAATAAGCTCTTTGCAGCTAAGTAATCACGTGCTGATAAATTCACTGAGAGCGAATGAACGTTTAGATTCCCGTGGGTAAGTATTTACTGAAGAGCAAGCACGCTTTCTACAACCTGCTCCGAGAGATCGTAATAAAACTGCATTTCGTAACACACTAGTTGCACATCGTTTCATTCAGTTGAATTTAAAATAAAAACAAAAATGTTGCCCTCCAGTTCAAACAGTGACCGTTAACTGTAAAGGGCTTATTGAATCTGGTCTAATCGGATTTACATGAAAAGGTAATCATTTTCAAGGAAAAGGTCTAGCTGTATTGTTGTGCCCCCTGTCATGGCTACCTGCCACTATCGGGGCAAAGCCTCTATTCCCTTGGTAATGACGGTTTTAAAAGTATTCTAACTCTTACTAATGCTTCCTTTTCCCTTATTTAGATTACAAAATGTTTCTAGTTCTTTGACATGCTTTCGTCTCAGTTTACTCCAAGTTGTATTACAATTGTCGTAAAATTCCTTGACGACTTGATGTAGACAGGCCCTTCTCCTTTCCATGTCTTGTTTTATTTTATCTTCTGCATGAAAGAAAGCTTTTTGTCATGTTACTAAGTCTTAAGAAAGATAATCACTTTCGAGCCCTGTACCACAGGGATCCTGACTACATACCTTTTTGAATCTTTAATCGTAAGTAAGCCTCCCAGACTAGTCCAAAGAAGGTACAAACCCCAAGCACAACCAGGAGGACGATAATCACATCCCAAGCACTGATGCTGGATTTGTGTTGATTCACGACATGAGCTGATGGCTCAGAAGTGTTTGAAACAACAGCAGGTGAACTCTGAAAGAAAAAAGAAAAAGCGACGAGTGAGTCCGGGACTGAGGCGCTTGCCAGTATTTAGCTTTATTCATAATCCATTACATTATCTCTTTCAAAGAACGTTGTCATCGCTAAAGGCGATAGCTACTAGCTAATAGGCGAAAAGCAATAGGAGATAGGTCATTCCAAGATCGGAGAATAGCTGGAATGACTTGTGTTTCTGCTTCTTATTCTCGTCAAGAACATAGACCTTTATCGACGATAACGTTCTTTTTAAGCAGGTGTATACATTACTTGCAACGGCTTGATGTTCTTTTTGATCCAATGACTAATTATCGCCCTATTACTTTGGATGTATTGACTGCAGGCTTTTTGTAGCCTCACTACCTTCCCAGACAGTACAACACCATAGGTATAAGATCCACTGTCTATGATTCGATTAACGTAGGTATTAACAGAAGTGATATCTTGAAGGCTTCCTGCAACACATGCATCTACAAGAACACCGTCCACCTCACCATTGCCGAGAGCTTGGTACGAGGAAGTCAGCGAAGGGTATGCATCTGCATTAAAKGATGCAACATTATCACATCAGTACTTTAATTCAATGCGATAATTATCATGACAATTATCTTACGCATTTTGGCGTTCTTGAGAAGACCAATCCTGTACTCTGTAGAATTCTCTACGGCACTAACCTATCGTGGAAACATGAAAACGTGTTAATACAAACATGAATACGATTCACTAACCGCTGCTTCGAGTCGAGAACACTGCCTACTCAAAGAAATAAAAAAGATTTTGCCCAACTATTCTTCATATTAAATAAATCAGACCGGCAAGGATCAGCATCAAGACACGACAAACTGAGCTCACGCCTGCAGCTTGAGTTCCTCGGGTAGGAAAAACTTCCTGAAAAGTTAGCCAATCATGCAGCGCGTTTACCTGTTTTGCTGCCGGCACTTATTCCCAGGCTACCCCTAACCTAACTTATTTTTTCGTTTTCGTTTGAATAAAATAGTTTTGCGTGCCCACAAGAAACAGAAAAATCAAAAGGAAGAATAAAAACAATTTCACTTAACCGCCGTGTTTGACTCGTTCTTTCAAGCACTCAATTTCCTTAGGGCCGGTCATCTTGTCCACTTATGCTTTGCGCGCCGCGTTCACTGTTCAGCTGGTCTATCCTACTCCCTCTTACTACTGTTGAGAGTTTCACCGGACCATTGCCGTAGCTTGAATATTTTACCTTGGATGAACTGAGCGATAAATAAGAAACTTACTTTTGTTCCATAGAGAATAACTTGTTTCTCTAGTGATGCGACAACCACAGTCAAGGAATATGCTATGAGACCCATACAGATTGATATGATCAATAAACCAGTAAGAATCCAAACGAATGTCAAGATTCTAGCCAGTACGGTAACTGGAGCTCGATCTCCGTATCTACGAGAAAAGAATTCGGTATTCAATCACATAAGGTTTAAAAAGGTGTTAGCACTCTCTGGCTGAACTATGCTACGTCAAGCTACAAAGGAAAAAAACCTTACCCAACGGTTGTCATGGAAATGTAACAAAACCAAAGTCCTTCCCAAGCTCCTTGGTAAAACAAGGGAGGAAACTGTTCTGGATTGGAACTACATTCCTGATGAAAAAAAGAAATGGTGGAGAAAACTCGTACGACGAGAAAAATCCGAGATAATCGATTAAATTCTTTGTTGCAAAATGAAAACCAAATGCACAACTGGACACGACAATGTCTATTGTTATTAATCAATGGTAGACAAGACTTACCAGAAACCATATTAGAATCCCTGCCAACAACGCCATACTAAAGGCCAAGATAATTACAGGCCAGCAGTCACTTAGCGTGCTGTACAACGCGTCATTCCTAGATGTTGCTTCATCCTTACGAACCGTCAGGAATGCTGTTCCAGGAGACTCGAGTAATGAAACATACGTGTAATACTTCATGAATTTTGTATCCCCAACATAACCACGGACTGGAAAACTAACATCTGTGACGTCATCTATGTCGTTAATGACGTCATACTGGCTGTGTTTGTTGGCAGGATCACCCTTCCCATTATCGGAAAAGCTTAATACTGATCGCCCATGGCCGTTTGGACATTCTCCACAAGCTGTAAGTATCATATCTTTGATCAAAGGACCAAATATCCCTCCTGGGATTCCTGTGTCATCTTTACTCACATATGGTGGATATTCATACCAGTTAGTGTACACCTCTCTCTCACAATTGCAGGTTGCTAGGAAATTAAAGCATTCATTTTATTATTTTAAAAGAATATTTGCTGTCAAGTTTGAAAGACCAAAAGTACAAACCTCCTGTTAGCTTGATTTCTACGCCATCACCTTTGGACGTGTACGCCAAAAGCTCGAACAAGTAGCTTGTTGAAGAGTTAAGATTATGTAAGGTGAATTTGGTGGTTGAAGCTGAAAGGATGTATGTCTTACTGAACACTAAGCTGTTACTATCATCTTCATCTTGTTCAGCATTCTCTCGGCAAGTGAGCTTGTAGCCCAGTATAATACCATTTCTGTGCTCCGGGGGCACTGTGCTCCACCGGATATCAATAGTAGAGGTATCACGCATGTCGTGAACGATTGCAGCTGATGGAGGTGCACTGGGAACTAAATATTGAAATATCAGTGATTTAGTATACCCTAGTGGGTTTGGATCAACGTCATGCAATATCTGAGATAGTTGACTTTCGCTATCACGGTTACCGTTCAAAATTTACGACCCGAACAAACACCGCTATCTTGGGGTGAACTAYAGACTGATCAAGAAGCTCGGCCGAAGCCTAAGGGAGAGGTTAGTCGTACCCTAGCAAACGGCAAACATGTAAAACAGTAACTAGCTTTTTAATCGTAAATCTTTACTTTTAAATATTTTTAGGCAATCGACTGATGTTTTTACCGTGGCAAAATAAAGAAGCTTCCTTCCAAAATAAAGAAGCTTAAGTTGTGAACAAAGGAATCTGGCGTGATTCGTGACTTTTGAATCACGCCAGATTACTTTGAGTCACGCCAGATCCCTTTGTTCACAACTTAAGCCTCGCATCGGTGCGAGTTTTGAATTTGGTCTATGAAGGTATGAAATTTATCAGAGATAATTTTGGAACTGGCATTCAAAATCTTATCTAAAAGCAAATCACAATATGTTATATAATTGAGGAAAAATTTACGTAATTTTAGTTCTGTCTCAAGTTTTAGATATTGTTATCCTAAATTCATAGCTTCTAAGTAATTCAATAACCCTTTTCCTGGATAGTTAACTTAATTTATATTTATCATTCATTTAAATCTCTGTTATACATATATTGTTCTCATTTTCTAGATCAGTCTTATTTATATTTTTTTCTTATTTTTTCCTAATTAGCAATTAGGAAGCATAACATTCCTTTCAATGATATTTGAATAAACAGATTTTGTAGTAAGAGATGAGATAGATAGCAAAAGTTTTCAATTGAACTGAGAAATGGCCACCGACGTATGCCCAAGCATCTAAAAGTGAGGCATAAAAATCCGGTAGTAAATGAGAAGG